TTTTTTTTTTTATGGCCGCGGACCGCGGACACGTCTGCGGGGTCGCGGCCTAGACGTTTTCGTTTGTGCCTTTTTCTTTTCTCCTTTTTTCGCTTTTTTTCCTTTCTTCTTTTTCCTTCTTCTTTTTTCTTTTTTTTTTTTCTTTTTTTTTTTTTCCTTTTTCTTTCTTGTTTTCATTGTTGTTCTGGTCTCGAACGCATCTCCTGTGGAATTTGGTTGACTTACGTCATCTTCTAGGCCCAGTCTCGACAGTTGCTGGCTTTTTTCTGAAGTTATGTGATCTCTAGTTTAGCCTCCTTGCTTTTCGCCCCTATGAGGTCCTTCCAGTCCAGGTTCTTGAGGCTTATGAATCTGTCTCTGGGTCTTTGAGGCGCTTGGAGTCTTTGGCTGTCAACTCGGTTAGATAAATAGATTGATTGATACGCCAGTTGGCAACCTAACGTGACGAAGACCCCTGACGATTCCGGTTCGGCGGCCGGATGAAACGTAGGGTCGTTCGCCGCTGTCCATCTTCATATTGACGACTACGGGCAAGACGCCCAACTACGATTGGACCTCAGGAGTTATGTTGTTTACGATTTTAATTCGAGCTCGGTCGCGTTCGGGAGACTCTGACGTGTCATTTTACCTCATTTTCTCCCCTTTCTCTACTTTCTCTCTCCTTCTTCTTCTCTTTCTCTCTCTCTCTCTTTCTCTTCTCCTACACCTCTCCTTTGTCAGTCTCCTTAACTTGCTCCTTGTATGGTCTTCGTTTGGCGTTATGGTTTTGCTGGTTGGAATAGGCCAGATTGGCCGAATTCGACTATGTTGATGTCTAATCTTCTCTCATTAGGCTGATTACGGTCGACGTACCGTTATGTGCTTGCGTTACGATATTTGTGGATGTGTATGCAGCGCATACTTACCATCAATTCAACGCTGGAACCGCCGTAGCGATAAGACTACGTGTGAGTGACTCGTGACGTAATATCATTGTTGCTTGTATGATATCGAAACAGTCACTTGGTCTGTTTTTTTTGTTGTTGATTATGAGATGAGGCATGGCGGGTGCTCCACCGAATCAAGGGTGTTTTACCTGTGGCGCTCTGAATCATTGGAACAGAGACTGTCCACAACGAGTTTACGGGCCCCGACCTCCGGCTACGGGTGCTAATGCCATTCCTACCGGTGCCCCGATTCTTGCGCTTCCGACTCCTAATGGGGCTTCTGCGGCTGCTGCTAACAACGTGGCCCCTACGGCTGTTCAACCTTCCTTCGGTTATTAACCCCGGCCTCGTAATAACTGGTGGAAGGATAATCAGGATCGTCTGGACAAGGTTAATAATAAATACGTGCAAGATGAGGAAAACGAGAGGAAGCGCAAGGGGGACGAAGAAACCAAGCGCAATGAATGGAGGAAGGAGAGGGAGAAATTGGAGGCGGAGATGGCCGCTAGATTGGATAAGCGCTTTGAGGAACTTGGGTTGAAGAAGAAAGATGAGAAGGATGGGGTGAATCAACCTGATGAGGTGGCACGACTGAAAAAGAAGAATAACGAACTCCTTAGAAGATTGAACGGCGCGGGTGGTAACCAGGAGTCGGAGGGTGAGGTGGCGTGTCTCAAACGTGAAAATGAGGAGCTAAAACGGAAAGCCTATTGGGATGGAACCAGTACAAGGGATATCGAAAACACCGAGATGGCGCGTTTAAAACGTGAAAATGATAAGTTGAAGAGGAAGCTGAGCAGGGAAGGAACCAGTCGGAAGGAGGGAGACTGTGTGTCCAAATTGCAAAATGAAATTTATGAGTTACGTAAATTGGTTGGCAATAAGCAGATGGAGGGGGACGAGATTTTCGTGCTTAAGAAGGAGTTGGGTGAGGTAAAGCTGTCGGCCTTCCTGAAAATTAATTTCGAGCAAGAGATTGCCGGTCTACGAAAGGAGGTGGACGTGTTGCGAAGGCAGAATGAGAAGGTCGTGGAAGAAGTTAGATTATGGAAGGATGAAGCAATGAGGCCAGGTAACAAGCGCGGTAGTGTGGCAATGGGCACCCCAGGACTAGTTGATCGAGGCTCCTCGAGACCCCGATGGACGGACAACTTGAGGAAGGACGATAAGTGGAAAGAGGAATATATGAAGTTGCAGAGTCTACATAAGTTGGCGAATGTGGAGGCGTAACTGCTAAAGGAAAAGAGAGCGACAACCGGAGCCAAGAGGATGGAGGCGGAAAAACAGGTGAAGGATCTGGAGGAGAAGATGAGCCGTCTTAAAGCGCCAGAGGGGGAAAAAGAGACGGAAGGTGGAGGAACGAACCTCAAAGAAAGGTTGGATGCAGTAGCGCTTGGATCGGTAAGAAGAGGAAGGAAAGCGACGCCTGCACGTGGTCCAATGGAGGAGACGTCTGATAAAGCGAAAAATGTTAATAATCGCTATCAATTCATTGAAGATCAGAAGAAGCAGTTGCGCAACCTGAGAAAGGCGGGGCTGGAACCGATGTGTAAAGAGGCTGGGATTCGTGTGGGCAAGGTCGAGCAAATGATTTGTGAGCTTGCTGAATATCAGGCTGATCAAGCCTTCGGTACGACAAGGCATGGTGATCCGGGTTCCAAAGGTAAGAAGCAGGTGGTCGAGGTGGATGACGATTCGGAACTTAAAGAATCATCCCGATCTGAGGAAGGGGACAAGAGGTCTGTTGAGTTTTGAGGTGTTTTCCCGGACGTGGCTAAATTGTGGTTGCTGACGAATGAATGCCGAAAAAAGCGTGAGGGTGTGGGTCTGCTGACAGAAAGATCAGGGAAATCGCTGGGTGATGATCAATCTAATACCTTGCCCAATCCCTCTGATTCCTCTACTACATCGACGTCTTTTTCCCCTTCACACTCCCCTTCTTTCCCGTCCTCTACTTCCCTCTCCCATCTCCCTTCGTCCTCGTTATCTGGGTCATCCACAGACTCTGCCTTTTATCTACGTGATAAATCCTTCAATGACTGTTTCCGTCTTCTGGTTATTAGTCTTATTCTTAGAGGGCAGATACCCTGGGCGGAGAGGATTAAGGGTTATCTGCTGAGCTTGATGTCCAGTGGCTATGATTTTGAAAAGTGCAAGGGACCTTTGGTTTATGTGCTTGTCTCCCCCTGGGCTAGGCATATGTATGTTGGTTCAACCACTCGTGATTTATCTGTTAGATGGGGCGAGCACGTATATAGGACCCTAAGTGCTATAAATGTCGTGGGGGGGCATAGGAATCATAAGCGTTATCGATGACTCAGGCGGGGGAAAGTGGGTGATTACGTGGCACTCCCTGTGTTGTGTTGTGAATCGGCTGAGGTTTTATATCTAGAGAAGTTCATGATTAAGTTACTTTGTCCATACTTGAACAGTCGTGATGGGGTGGGAAGGAAGAAACGATGTCGGAAAGGGAAACACGAGAGGATGAGACAGAAAAAGAAACAGGGTGTTGCCATAGAAGCAAGGGTCGCGCAGACCCATATGGTTTTTCATTCATCCGCGGGTGTTGTATCTGCCCGTCTATCTTTTATTCTTGATCGATATCTTTCCTTGCGCATCTCGTCTATTGGAATTTATTGCTCGGGTGGGGATCTTCTCGCTGAGAATTGGAAGTTGTTGAAAATGAAGTATGGTTCATCACTGATCGAATCCGGGGGGCATTATGAACTACTTAAGAAGGTTAGGGGCATGTTTCGGCCGGCTAAATATGTAACAATCTCTGCTATCGTGCCGTTCATGAGTCGGGCATTAGTTTTGAAGCCTGCTCTGTCGGGTCTACTGACCAATCCTGCATCTAGGAAGGATTTGAAGAATTGGGGGTTATCTGTTATAATCTGTGTCTTTTCTGCTATCCGTAGTTTCTCGAAAAAACGGAGCCGGTTTCTCCTTTGATTAATTTTATCTGGAGTTATTCGTCGTAACTTTGGTTGTAACATTTGGAGAAGATTGGTGGTTCGGATTACCTATGATCTGATTTTAAGTAAGCCCGGTGTTAGAGCTCTTTGCGCTAAAACTGTAATGGAGATTGAAGGAAATGAGGAATGGAAGAAGATGTTGGTGCGGAGGATGAGAATTGTTTGGCTGAAAAACAAGAGTGTAGGTGATATCGTTTGTAACTTTCGTGAGTTTGCAAGGAAGGGGGATACGCGATGCGTTTGTTCGGAGATAATTGGGGATTTTCCTATGACGAATGGACACATCTGCTTTCGATTGAATGACTTGGAAAAAACACCTCCATCGTTGCGTAACAATCGTAATGTGGTTAGACCGTCTGAGTTCAATGCGGTTAGTCGGCTGAGGAAGCAGATAGGTCGTTCCTTCCTTGAGTTGGACCTTCCGGCCCCTGTCCTGCGGAGGGACGAGCTGGCTGGTTGCATAAGAACAGTCGTCGTGAAGGATTCTGAATTTTGTGCGGAAGAAGAAATTTTGAGTTGGAAGAGGAAACTGTGTGGGTTGGTGTTAACCCCGGTTGACCGTAATCCTGGAGATACACTCGTATGCTGTCCAATCAGATATCGGGAGGGGATGGATTCATGTTTTTTTGTAATCCTGGGTTTCGTATTTGCGAGGAAGAGGAGGAGCGTCTGCTGCAAGACGCGAAAGAGGAATATGTGAGGATAGGGCTGCAAAAGCTGGCAAGATGGGACTCCAAAGGAATTTTGGGGAAGACGTATGCTATCCCAAAACACAAAGATGTTTCGCGATGGCGCCTTATTTGTCCATCTTTCTCAGAATGCAATGTGCGGGCATGTAGGAAAGTGTCGCGTTGTGTCAACGTTATGATTTGGAGTCTGCCTAAAGGGACCCATTTCAATCTCAAGAGTACAGATATGTTGGTGGAGGCCCTGAAGGATGTCAATAAGGACTGGAACCGGGGGGAGGGAATGATGACTGCAGCCTTTGATATCAAAGAAATGTTCTGTAACCTCCCTCACGAGGCCATTATGAATGCTCTAGGTTGGATCATAGACTTCTGGGAAGGACGTGAGATAAGCAGTGTATTGTTGAAGACAAGAGGGAAAGAAGGTAAACTGTGGAAGGGGAAAGCACAGGAAGGATGGCAAGAGGTGGAATTTGACCTGATTCGTGAGTTTGTTGGTTTCGATCTGAGACATACTTACACGGTTGCCTGTGAGCAGGTTCTCAATCAAGTTATAGGTATACCGATGGGAAAACAGTCTAGCCCGGCTATCGCATGTCTTCTCTGTGCCTTTTCTGAATTTTCCCTATTGGTTTCTTTGGGTAACGACCGCCGGTTGATTCGGGGGATTCGGTTGATCGACGATGTGTCTGTTTTTATTAAATATAAGGTAGGGGATGAAATGTCTGAGAAGAAGGCAAGGGATGTTTTAAGGAAGTTTGAGAACTGTTATGACTCAAACCTCAAACTGGAATGCACCAGCAGAGAAGGGCAATGGGACTTTTTGGGGTGTACGATACAGAACTTGGGATGGCCTATGGGAGTTAGGTGTGCTGCCTACCACAAAAATCAGAAGGAGATTATGACAAAGGGTATTGTTTTTCAGGGCATTCAAGATAATTCTTTGAGTAAGCAGCAGAAGATCGCAGTGGTGGGCTCGTTCATGCATCGAGCCAGACGCCTTACAAGCTTGCCTTTGGCCGAGGCATCTTTCCTTGTGAAACTTAAGATCGAACTGCGGTTGCGGGATTTTAAAGATGAAATTTTCGATAGAGCTTTGACCCACTTCTCACTCAAGTTTGGAGGTGTTTGGGAAGACTGGGTTGCCTGCTTCACTGGATGGGACCATCCTTTCAGAGATAGTGTTCGCTAGGATCCTCCGAAGTTGTTGGAGACACTGTTCTGAATTTCTTTTGCTGTTTTCATTGGTCGGGGCTAGGTAGTTGGGGGCACTGTTCTGTTTTTTTGTTGAGGGTCTCATCCTGATGGTTCGCCTTGCCCTGGAACCTCGTAGGCTTGGGTCACCTTTTAGGTCGAGTCTCGATGGTTACTGGTCTTTCTGGGTGGGGCTCGAAGTCTTGTCTCGGCGTTTTCCTTTGTGCCTTTTTCTTTTCTCCTTTTTCCGTTTTTTTTCCTTTCTTCTTTTTCCTTCTTCTTTTTTCTTTTTTTTTTTTTCTTTTTTTTTTTTTTCCTTTTCCTTTCTTGCTTTCATTGCTGTTCTGGTCTCGAACGCATCTCCTGTGGAATTTGGTTGACTTACGTCATCTTCTAGGCCGAGTCTCGACGGTTGCTGGCTTTTTTCTGAAGTTTTGTGATCTTTAGTTTAGCCTCCTTGCTTTTCGCCCCTATGAGGTCCTTCCAGTCCAGGTTCTTGAGGCTTATGAATCTGTCTCTGGATCTTCGAGGCACTTGGAGTCTTTGGCTGTCAACTCGGTTAGATAAATAGATTGTTCGATACGTCAGTTGGCAACCGAACGTGACGAAGACCCTTGACGATTCCGGTTCAGCGGCCGGATGAAACGTAGGGTCGTTCGCCGCTGTCCATCTTCATATTGACGACTACGGGCAAGACGCCCAACTACGATTGGACCTCAGGAGCTATGTTGTTTACTATTTTAATTCGAGCTCAATCGCGTTCGGGAGACTTTGACGTGTCATTTTACCTCCCTTTCTCTCCTTTCTCTACTTTATCTCTCCTTCTTCTTCTCTTTCTCTCTCTCTCTCTCTTTCTCTTCTCCTACACCTCTCCTTTGTCAGTCTCCTTGACTTGCTCCTTGTATGGTCTTCGTTTGGCGTTATGGTTTTGCTGGTTTGAATAGGCCAGATTGGCCGAATTCGACTATGTTGATGTCTAATCTTCTCTCATTAGGCTGATTACGGCCGACGTACCGTTATGTGCTTGCGTTATGATATTTGTGGATGTGTATGCGACGCATACTTACTGCGGCCGCGGACTTGTCCGTGGATGGCCGCCGCCGAGGGGGATTCGTAGCCCCTCCCCCACCAATCAATCAATCAATCAATCAATAAAAAAATAATCAATCAATGAATTTAATTCAATTAATTTTTTTATTTTTTATTTCACACATCAAAACCTTCCCCCCCCCCCAATTTTTTTTTTTTTTTTTTTTTTTTCCCCCCCCCCCCCCCCCCCCCCCCCCCCAATTTTTTTTTTTTTTTTTTTTTTTGCATAGGCCGACAGCGGCCGACGTGCGCAGGCCGCGCGCGCCGTTGCCTGGCTGTATCGCGACTGCAAAAAAACTCGGCCGCACGGCCTAGGCCCTGGGCCCGCGGCCGACCTCCTCGGCCGAGGCGGCTGCGGCCTAGGGGGACACATAGGATCCAGGATATCGAGGCCCCTGTCCTCCACTTATCCTATGACTTTCCTCCAAACCACCTTCGCTAAGTACCCAGTTTCTTCATTACATGTACCTGCTATAGGTACTTAATAGATAACGATCTAATTTTCTTGTAGGCTTGCTTTTCTAACCCTCT